TCGTTACCCTTTTTCCGTTTTGGAGGGGGTCGGCCCCTCCACAATGTCCAATTTTTCGCCGTGAACCTGATAACTTGTTTTTTGTTCTTCACGTTGACAGCCTCGTAGGGGATCTTCTCCCGTGTCCCTCTCCTTCCTGGGTGCGGTCGCTGTCTTGGCCTGCACCCTCCGATGCCATTCTTGGTTGGCAATTTATTTCTCTGGTATGGCGGCTGTCTGCCGCCTATCATCTTTATCCCTTTCGTTCTTGCACGCTGGCATCCGAAGGTTCCCTTGGGAGCTTCCTTCTTGAAGTCTTTTCTCCGTCGTGCCACTGTCGCGCGACGGGATGTCTTCTTGTCCGTTGGCGTTCTATATGCCGTTTCCGCAAGGCATGTTGTCGCTTTGCGGGCGACAGCCAGTTTCTTCCGCTGGCATCCGCAGGTTCCCTGGGGAGTTTCCTTCTTGGAGTCGTTTCTCCAACGTCGTGCCACTGTCGCGCGACGGGATGTCTTCTTGTCCGTTGGCGTTCTATATGCCGTTTCCGCAAGGCATGTTGTCGCTTTGCGGGCGACGGCCAGTTTCTTCGGTTCTCAGACCGGTATTTTCGGGGCGTCTTCTACGGGGACTTCTTGATGCTCCAGTCTGGACTGCATCGCTTCTGAGTGGGGCTCAATCTTCACGTGGGTAGTTCTCTTCTCTTCCCCGCAGGCTTTCAACTTCTCGGCTCGCATGGCGGCCATTTCCTCTCGCCATGCTTTCAGGTCGGCCATCATCTCTTTATGGCGGGTGTCGGCCTTTTCTTCGTAGGACCTCATCTCTTCTTGATGGGTTTTCATGCTGGCGTCCATTCTTGCCAGCATTTCTATCGCTGCATCTCCATTTTTGTTGTTGTAGGACGCGTGTTAAAGTTCGAAGTCACTTCTGACACCAATTGTCACGTGTCTTGAGTTCGAATCTTGTCAGTCACGTGTGTAGCTCAATCCCACTTCTGACACCAATTGTCACGTATTGGGCATATAACGCGACAAATAAATTCACGCCGGTCTCGAATTCAGTAGAAATTTATTGTTCTTCATGCTTACACAATCACATGCTTTACTATTGTTAGCCTACACAATTTCTCGGCGACACTGGACTGGCTTCGCTGGCGGTGTATAGCAGACTCCTTTCTGCAGCGGATATTCCAGGGCTTTCTTCTTTGGAGGCTCGATCACAACTGGCCTCATAGCTGGCCCGATGAAGACTCACTTTGTGAATGCATTCAACCCCGCTGTTGTAGCTGTGGAGACGTTGCTCTGTTGGTTCCGCGTTTCCTACGCAATAACCCATTGTTATCGCGTTGTCTCTGTGGGAACGCTTCGCGTATTCGTCGTAACCTTGGAGATTCCTGTTATAACTACAATGGAGCGATTGTTGTTTCTTGTGCGACGGTCTATACTAGAGTTTCCATAGAAGTTACTCTTCTGGATTCCAGACACGTTACAATATATTGTTTGCACTTGGGACGGAGTTTGTATCATTTATCGTGTAGAGTGCAACAGGATGCTTAAGTATAATATTGCTCGGAACTAACTCGGAACTGAACTCAGCGATGGCCACATTCCAACTAACTCACGCTTACTGCTCAGCCGGCTTATATTCCGTTCGCTGTTACCTGTTGCCCGCGTCAACAGTGTTGTGTGTCGCGTCACAGTAGGAACCGGTTCCACGTCGTCCTGTTGTGTCACCGCGCGTTGCGCGTTACGTTACTGTGCGGTGAGGGGGGAGGAGGGGAGCGCTGAGTCACCCGTCGCGTCACTGCTGGTGGGGGGGGGTCTCCGTTGCGCAACATGTCACACTGCTCCCTCCTTAAGGCTGTTCGTCCCGAATAGCCTGACGGTGCATCCCCGTTCCCTTGCTTCGGAGGCTGTTCTTGCAGCATCTGTTCTCCGGCCGTTACAACAGCTCCCCTCTAAAGACTGCTCGTCTCGAGCGGTTTCCTTTCAGCTCGCCAGAAGATCCAGTTGTGTCCCATTCATCCATCACTTTCATTCTATGGCACATTCACTCTCTCTGGGGAGGCCGGTTCTTCTATTTTACCAGCTCCTCTTCTGTGCCCTGCGTCTTTTTTCGTTTTGGAGGGGGTCGACCCCTCCACAGTGTCCAGACTTTGTTTATGTCTTCCATGAGAAGTTCCTTATGTTGATGTAACAGCCCTTGATGCGTTGTTTGCACTTGCTGACGTTCCTCCTGGTCTTCCAGCCACTTGCTGGCATGGGACCGTGGCGCCAAGTCCTTTCTCCGGCATCCGAAGGTTCCCTGGGGAGTTTGCTTCTTGAAGTCATTTCTCCAACGTCGTGCCACTGTCGCACAACGGGATATCTTCCTGCAGATGGCAGCCAACTTTATCCGGGACGCATGATCTCCTCGGGTCCAAGATTTCCTGAAGATGTTTCTCCGGCGCCATGACACTCTTGCGTGGCGGGACACCTTCCTGCTGGTTTTCTTCTGCCGAGTCACTTCCACGCGGAGGCTCGTCCCTCTGTGGGCTACGACCAACTTCTTCTGGGGCCCAGAACTTTCCCGTGTTGGATTCTTTATATTTCGTCGATGTTGGTCCCTGCACCTTTTCTTCTTCAGTTCTCTGACCGGCATTACTTCGGCGTCTTGCATGGGTACCTCTAGTAGTTCTGCCACCTCAGGTTTCCTGTGCACTGAAGCCGGCTTTTCTTCTTCTGGACGTGCCTCCGTTTCTTGGTAGGCCATCGTCACTCTGACCGGTATCACTATGGGGACCTCTTCTTGTTGTGCTGTCACAGGTTTTGTGTCCCCTGGCCAGGCCAACGTCTCATTGTCTTTGTTAGGAATCTTCTGTCGGTTAACTACAACCGCTTTTCCTCTTGGATTTTTCTCCGTTGCATCCTGGCAGGGTGTCCTCTCTTCCTGCCAGGCATTGAAGTCAGCGTCTAATTTTGTCAGCATGACGTTTGCTTTTTCTTGATTGGATTCTAATTTCGCTAGGAAGTTGGTCTCCATTCGCACTCGGTCGGCATCTGCTTTTGCTTGGTTTACCCTCATCTCTTCTTGATGGGTTTTCGTGCTGGCGTCCATTCTGGCCAGCATTTCCATCATCTGCTGCATCTCCATTTTGTATCATTAAATACACGATGCACAATAATTCAATTATTTGTCGAGGCGTGTTCAAGTTCGTATCTAATTCTGACACCAAATTGTCACGTGTCTTGAGTTCGAATCTCGGTCACATGTGTAAGTCCAAATCCCACTTTTGACACCAGTGTAACGTGTTTTGTTACTGAAGACGCCGTTCAGATTGTTAATTGGTTTATTTAACAACTTACAAATCACAGCTACAATTAATTATAACAATATTGCGGGGTTTCACAATTTATAACCCTATTCGCAAATCAAATCATGCTATTGTCAGTAGACTACACGTTTCACAGTACGGGAGCTAGATAAGTGTTACTGTATCACACACTCCCAATCAATTCTCAGTTATCACACACTTTCACTCATAACTCACCGGTGGCTAGATTCCAACTCTGCTCGCAGGCTGCTGCCTTGAGAACTGTTGATAACACACTCGCTCGTAGGCTTGCTCAGAACTAACTCGGAACTGAACTCGGCGATGGCCACATTCCAACTAACTCACGCTTACTGCTCAGCCGGCTTATATTCCGTTCGTTGTTACCTGTTGCCCGCGTCAACAGTGTCGTTGCGTGTCACGTCACAGTAGGAATCGGTGCCACGTCGTCCTGTTGCGTCACCGCGCGTTGCGCATTACGTTACCGTGCAGAGAGGGGGGAGGAGGGGAGCGCTGACTCACCCGCCGCGTCACTGCTGGTGGGGGGGTCTCCGTTGCGCAACATGTCACAATACATTATGTGCATTGAAAATTCTTTTTTTAACTGGTTATTTAAGTATGCTGTCAGTATTGAGACTGTATAGTGTCAGATGATAGTATGATTGATGAATGTGGTGCAGTTAGTGGAATGAGCACTGGCAGAGGAAAGTGAAGTATGTGGAGAAAATCTGCCCCAGTGTCACTTTGTCCACCACAGATTTGTTTTGTAACCTCTGATGTATGAGAGTGTAAGAAGGCTCACAAAGCAACAAGTTTGGTTACCCCCAGGAATAAATATGCACCCATCACCGCAACCTGCACAGCTTCTGTTCTCCATGCAGAGATAAATTATGACCTAGGAAAGGCTAATAGTGCAGATGTTAATTCATATCAAAGCAGAGCTCAGTAAGAGACAAAACCAATACTTGTTAGCCTCCATTTATAAGTTTGGGATGGGACAACTATGTTGGTAAATCGACTGGTGAAGAACTGGATGACCAAGATTTGATTTGCAACCAGAGGCAAGGATTTTTCTCGCCACTGTTCAGAACAGTTCTGGGGTCTGCACATCGTCTCTTATGGGTACCAGATGTTTTTCACTAGGAGTAGAGTAGCCATGTGTGAAACTGATAACTTAACCTCTGTCTGGTGCCAAGGTTAAGAATGTATTAGGCTTAGGAGAAATACGGTAGTAAGGAATGTCAGAAAATCAACATGTGCAACATCGCAAATAGACTTTCTGCATCACCATGTAACATCACACTAATATGTTCTGTAAAAATACAATTGAATGTTCCTCTGGGGCACAGTGATTCTGAATACAAATGAAGGAAAAAGAAGAGAGTTTAACACTGGGGAAGTGGAATTGAGACATGAATCATAAAGAGGAGGAAAACGTTAGAATGAAGAACATTCAGTGAGGAATCAACTCTACCACAAATGGTGAATTTCTTCCAGTGCATGTGCCAAATTCAGAAATGCTGAAGTATTAAAAAATAAAAACCATTTGCAGAAAGCACTTAACAGATAATATAAGCTTCGGCTCTAGGTGTTTCAACTGTATGTGAGTGAGGGTGTGAGCTCAACGCAACCCCCCCCCCCATCTTGGGATTGCTGTGACAGTGAATAGGATCCACACTTCCAGTCAAAATTAGTGTAACTGTAACAAAAATGTGTATGAAATAGGGAGCATACCACTTAAAACACGACTCAATCAATCACACTCTGGTATAAAACTCAAGTCATACACTCCTCCCTCCATTTAACTGAATCTGGAAGCTTTCCTCATTACTCTCGAGCTGCTGTTGCCACTTGCACAGAAGCTTTCCAGGTGCAAGCATGGTGTATATGCCAGCAGAAGGTGTGTTCATTATGATGCATTACTTTGCATCAAATGATTTCCTGATGTTCATGAAACATTTAGCAGTGTGTACCAACACAAGGAGTGAGACAGGATGGAGTGGTATGGACTGGATTAATCTGGCTTAGGGTAGGGACCAGTGGTTGGTTCTTGTTAACATGGTATTGAACCGTCAGGTTCCATAAAATGTTGGGAAAATATCGAGCGGTTGAGTGACTGGCGCCTTCTCAAGAAGGACTCAATTCCATGAAGTTAGTTCAGTTATTATCCGGATGAAGGCAGTACCAAATAAGATGACTATACTGATGTCACCTGAAAGCTTGCACATAGTTGTAGTTAGTTGTGTTTAAGCACAATAGATCACTGTAGGTCATGGTGCAAGGGCTGAGAAGGCCCACCCCTTATACATTCATTCGAGTTGTGTTTTAAATGGTATTCCTCATATTAGCAAGAAAATACAGAAGAACATAAATCATGTGTAATTAATAAAATAAATATTCATAAAATATTTAATACAGTCAACTCTCGATTATCCGGGCTAATGGTGGGGATGGNGATAAGAGGATAAAGTTCTTGACACAGCAAAGACATATGACTGAATAATATCTGTGGTGGATTCAGTCATCAAATTACTCTTGAATTTAAGAGAACTGTTATATAAATCTTAGCCTGAACCAAAACTGTTACCATATTATTTCCTTACAAAAATGTAAGAGTACATCCTTTGCTGATGTGATAGTGCAAACTGTCCAGCTGCTAGACTTTGCTATAAGGCATATTGTCAGATAATATTTCTGATACCATAAATAATTATAATCATATCATCAAGTTAGTGGGAAGAGACTGAGTGCTTTTGAATCTTGGTGACACATCTGCCGAAGTTCATAGTCTGGATACTAAGAGCATCATTAAATAACCTGTGAAGAAAATTTTTAGGAAAGCATATGGTACTTTGTATAATACATAATTACATAATGAAGAAAGTGATTTTTCTCCAAAGAATCTACCAAAAGACAGCACTAAAGTAAGTTTCTGCCTAGTCACTTCAGATCTTCAGATCATAAGAGAATAGTTGCTAGTAATTTATTAGGTAAAATGGACAAGTATGAAGTGTTTTACAAGGCTGATCATGAAGTGTGATGAATATATAATTATGTCTTTGTGGATGTTTTATTGTACATTTTGTATTATATGAACTCAATATTGTATAAAATATACATTTTTTTTTGTCAGACTACAGGATTTACTTCTAAGCCTCAATACTAAAACAAGAACTCCATGCCTTAGCATTCACCATCTTCAGCAGTGACTTCAGTGAATTACCTGGTCCACACTCAAATGTTCTTGGGAAATATTCACCAACCTTACGCTCATACAGAACATGTAGTGTCTGTTCCCATTTAACTGCTCTATAAATCTGTTTTGGAAGCTGTATTCTAATATGATTTGCATTCCTATAGCTTTTCCCATCCACATTTGAAAACACTTGAATGATGGGATCATTAATCTCCGCTTTCCTAAGGGCCATCTTAAAGGGTTCAACAGCAGGTCGCATCAGGGATGTATGAAATGCTCCAGATACAGGAATCTTCTTTAGCCGCTTCAATTTATATTGCTCTGCATTGCTTTGGATAAATTTCAGTGCCTGAAATGACATAAATGCTGTCAGAATTATGAAGAAAAATAATTAGTTAATTTAAATTTCCTAAGTTTGTATCTGTATGAATATTTCTCTGTACATATACTCTGCTGCTGTGATCATGTTACACTAAAAGCACCGCGAATACTGAAAAAACTGTATCTTAAAGGACTCTGCTTATGCTAATGAATAATTTATACTGTTGAAAAGCTACCAATTAACCATAAGTTGAGAGATACAGATATACTGCCATTTATGGAACCCAAATGTCCCATGCCATGTTCACAAGAGTATGGCACTGGTCCCTGTCTTGAGCGAAATGAACCCAGTTCACACCTTCCTGCCCTTTTTGTTTAAAAACTATTTTAATATTTTCCTCCCATATATGCCTAAGGCTTCCAAATAATCTTTGCCTCAAGGCTCTTGGGAATTTCTCAATTAGCTGAGTAACTGTCAGCATCTCCAAAAAAACACCCTGCTACATGGAAGTGGTTAACAGTTCAGGGGTTGCATAAAATGTTTTCTTACTCATTTTAAACACTAAATACATCCAACTGGAAAGGCCAGTGTTTTCAAGAAATGTATAACAGACCACAGAGTTAGCAGAATGGAATCACATAGTATGCAAACAGAATCTTCAGTACTGTACCTCTAAATGTCCTGCAACAACTTTGCAATCAGGATACAGGTAGTTCGCCACACAACACTCTGGATTCTCAATTCCCCTCTGCAAGCACCACTCCCTGGCTTGGAGGCAGGCATAGTTTAGCTTTGCATCTGGGCCATAGAACACGGTCATCATACCACTTGGCACAATCTCCGACGCTAACTGCATTGCTTCAGCACGGACTTTGACCAATCTTATGGCTTCAAGGTAAGAGAAATTAAGAATAATTTAAGTGTAATATACATGCAGAACTAGCTAACAGATGGACAATACCATAGCAAGTTTGGATGTGTATTACTTGAGTACTCATGTGACGTCGGCTCCTGTCCGTGGTCTGTGTGCGCACTTCTCCCCTCTACTTTCTCTACTGTCCCCTTCTCTCCTTCCCCTTCCGAGCCGACTTAGCGGCCTAACGTCTGGAGCTCTAGGCTCTTGGTTTTCCAACCGTCGATGGGGTAGGTTGTTCTCGTTTCGGACCACCGGTCGAGGTCATCCTCGACCGTCTAAATTAATTTCTCTACATAGTATTCTATCTGAGAACAGCGAACTCTGCAATCATTTTCATACAGGTATTTACATTATGTTTGTATTCTTTCTTTATTAATATATTATATTTATTCTTTGTTAACATTTGATTTGGTTATTTCTGTTTGGGTATTTCCGCCTTGCTGATTTCTTTGTCCTCCCCTGCTCGCCCTGTCCTGTGATCACGTGAACCTATATGCAACCTGAAGGATCCTCTNCAGAAGTACTGGTATGTGTATGGTAACAAAAGCTGCCAAACATTACAAAAATCTATATACACTGCAAATAAAGGGAGAAATCTTGGAGATGAGTAACTTCAAGCATTGATTTGGTTGCATAGTAGCTTTTAATTTTTAATTTATAAAACTTTTTCAGTATTCTAAATATTTCTGTACTTTCTCAGTCAAGACATTAATACTGTCACATACATGAATGACTATAGGTGAGGTTTGGATTGGTAATTTGATTTACTGAACCCTTACATATCACAACTACAAGTAATTGTAGCATTGTTGCTAATTCACACACTCAGCAGTTCACTACAGCATGTACTATGTCTTCTCAGTCTGATGTCTCTTCATCAGTTGTTGCCTGGTTAAAAGCTTCCAATGGCAGACTTTCCCCCTACTCTGCATTCCTGAACTATCCCTGTGCCTCGGTTACCAGCTTCTAACAGCAACAGGTCACAAGGACTTGACTTAACCGCATCAGTCCTGCAACTAACTCATTAGCTCATGCCAGTCCACTACACTATCTGAACTCAGAGTCAGGGCCAGTTATTTTACAACTGGCAGTTTATTGCCAAGCCCCTTGAGGCTCATGATCAGTGACTTTTTTTTTTTTTTTTTTTGCAATTGAACTCTTGTGGTCATAGTCCTCACAAAACATCCTCTCTGACTAGAGAATGGGTTTCTCTTATGAACAGTCTTTACCTTTGTCAAGTGTACATATCACACACATAGAATAGGTCTACATGGTTATGGGGAATGCCTTTTCTTCCCAGGAAGCAGTCAGTCCAATAAGTGATAATTTGGAATGTAGAACTTCTCATGGGGTTTGAGATGTCTCTGAGAGCACAGCCACATCTAAATATAAGTCTTGCAGCTGATTACTGAGATATCACTACCTCCAAATGCCATTTGCATTAAATGTTATGACTCTGAACTCTTAACAGTCATTTAGTTTTACTGAGTTAGTACCATTTCTGTAACGACCATTATTTTGTCTTTTTCTGACACAGCCTCACTGAGCTCTGTGATGATGTGTTGCGCTACAGTGGCAATTTTTAACGTGTCACTGTCAGCTGAACTGGGAGCCTGTACCATCAGACCTGTTCTCTGAATTTCCTGCTGTGGCAGATGCTTCTGCACATGGGTCATCAAGCTTTTCCCACAGGTCTGTGGTGCCTGTGGTTGGCAGTGTTGCATGTCTTGATGCAGTACAGCTGTGTAGGACTGCTCTGGTGAAGTGAACTTAGAGAAGAACGTCCTCCCAGAGGATCCCGTGGGAGCTCCTTGTGCTCTTCTCCTTTGTAGTTCTCTTTTCATATGGCTGCAGCTTTGATATGATGCTGGACGAGGTTTTTCTCCTTCTAGGGTGCAACTGCAGCAGCTCAGCCAATTTGGTCAAGTGATATAACCTCAAAGCAGAGCACATAGAAAACATTACTTCCACTGTTGCATGTGGGCCACTGCCTAGCAATGGCTCCAGTACTGCTGCATATTTACAAAGCTGCTGCCAGGCATTTTCTAGTTGTTTTGTGGTCATTGTCTAGCAATGAGTCTATATACGACAATATATTAACTATTTGAAATTAATTCTCTTCTTTAATCCAACCATGTATTCAAGTACCACAACCCTCATGTTCTAACCCCATACACTTAGAACATAAGAAACCCACACATAATTTCCAATAAGATGTTTTTGCCCGTATCATCATCATCATCATCAGTAATCTGTCAGGCGACAGGTCCACAGTCTCTTCCAAAACAATTCCTCCACTTAATGCGATCTAGAGCTTTCGCCTTCAAATGACAGTATCCTCTTCTGTCCCCAAGGTCATCCAGCATCTTCTTACATCTTCTTCCTCGTCTTCTTGTCACTTCTATCCACCCCTCTATCTTTCCTTCAATAACTTCTTTTAGAAGGCAGTTTCTGCATAAAACATGACCAATCCAATTAGCCTTCTGTTTTCTTATTTCGTGTAGGATATTCCTCAGCTCACTGACTCTAATTAACACTTCTTCGTTTCTCACATAATCGGTCCAACTGATCTTCTCCAACACCACATTTCAAAACTTTCCAGATGTTTCTGATCTACTGCCCTAAGTGTCCATGTTTCAGCCCCATATATATTACAATTTTATAGAAAACAAACTAACTGAATATTGTATATAAACTTTCTTGAATGAACGGCAGGTGAAGCATCGTTGTTTGCTAAAAACAAGTACAAATAAATATTTATAACAAGAAACAAATCTGAGAAGTTTAAAATGAACTTAGAACTAAAGCCAATAATAATAAACCAAACAGCTGCACAGTAATTTTAAAGGTTAACAGAATCAATTTTACTAGGTTATTACATCTAAGTAGCACATAAAATGCTTGGGACAAGGCAACTGTTCTTCAACAAAGGAAAACTTGCTACAAGGCATATTTATTTCATGAAATTTTCCTTTTTTTACTGGCAACATTTCTATGCCAAAAATACACATTTGTAAGCATACACATGGAAGACATCACATGACAAACCTTCTTCAAATGATAATGCTCCAGCAAAAACTAATGCAGTGATTTCACCAATGCTAAACCCTGCGGTAGCCACACAGGATTCTATTGCCATTGGCCGTTCTTCTTTAAGCTTTTCAATAGCAGCAAGTGAGCACACCATCACAGCTGGTTGGCAGTAAACTGTCTTGTCAAGTTCTTCTTTTGGACCATTGAAACACAGTTCTCTCAAGTTATAGCCGAGTAAATCACTGGCTGCATCAAATAAATCACGAGCTATTGGAAATTTCATCAGATCTTTCCCCATACCAACAAACTGTGTGCCTTGCCCAGGAAACAGGATAACAGAAGTTTCCCGAGGGTCCACATTGGGTTTTCTAAAATGCCTGGATTGATCTCTTTTCAACAAAACTCCTTCAGGATACGGCGAAGTTGACCAAACATTTTCTGGATTGTCTGGAAGAGGATCGCTGCAGACTGAAGCTTCGTCAAGAAGTTGCTTTATGTCAGTTTCTCTGTTGGATGTCTCACTTTCACTTATACCCTGAGTTTCGGATTCGTTGACACATTTCTCGTTTTTGGTTGTTAACTTCCTATTCAGTATAACTGGAAAATTATAATTATACTTCGAAGTGTATGGTATAACATTCCTTTGTTTCAATTTAAACAAATGTTTTAATACACTTCTCTTGGCAAGCATTGTTAACAGCATGCCTACCACACTTAAATTCTAACCTAACTCGGACGCCAAACTTCCTGCAATTACCAGCGTTCTCACCAACAGTACTTAATAATTATATTAAAAACAATTACTGTCCTTTTGTAGAACGCATACTTTTTATTTTTGTAATGCATGTAAACTAACTAGACAAGGGCGAAACCATAAATTCATACTTCACATTCTTAATCACCACACACTGTCTCCATTTAAACAAGCAGCTTAAATCCAGCCCTTCGAGCAACTTCTCGTTGCCATGACGACCTACGGCCGTGAACCAGCTTCGTAATGGAGTCGGTTTGTATTGTACTTACAAGTTATTGAATGAAATATAATTTACACTAAGTGTTATGCTTTTTATTTCACGCTGTCTTTTATATTGAAAGTATAGTTATTTTTTATTATTTATTTATTGTAATTGCAGATTATGGAAAGTGCGTCTTGTAATCCAAGTACGAATACTGAATTTTCCGAAGGAGATGTTCCAAGAAATTCCACTTCACAGAATGAAAAAGATAATGACGATTCGGATAACACGGGCGAATTTTATTTAGAATCAGATCACGTAGCTCTGAAAGGAAATGGAGATTACCTGAATATGCTTAAGACCATAGCCGTTTTAGAAGCACAAAGCATAAAAGCCATTCAGGTAAGGAATTGTAACCATACAATTAAGAGGTATTTACAATTGTCTGATTCAGTAGTTGGTCCCCAAAATAATTTAATTTTATACAAAATATCATATATTGATTGAGAATTTGTAACTGATAATAAGGCTAATAATTGCATGGATTTTTGAAATCTTAATTTTAAAATGTGGATTGGCTTTGTACTGCAGTGACTACAAATACCTACAGTTAAGTTTGTGTTCTATTTTCAGGTATTGGACCTAATTAACCTAATATAAACCAGTCCAACATAAACCTTCTGACCAGTTATTGAAGCAGGGTATTATATGTGTATATTGGTAGGAGCCAGGATATCACATTTGGTATAGCAACTGGGTACAGGCTGGACAGCTGAGGGATTAGAGTTCAAATCCTGGCAGGGGTAGGATTTTCTTTCTCTCCACATCATTCAGATTGGCTCTGGGGCCCACCCAGCCTCCTATCCAATGGGTACCTGGGGTAAAGTGGCTGGAGTGCAAAACTCCCTACTCACCTTCAACTGGAGCTGAGGGCAACAATACATAGATCTGTACGTTCACTCCCCCATGTGTCCATGGCCTAATGCTTAGCTAGTTAAGCACAGGGACAACTTTCATCTTTCAAGCATCACTAGCATAAAATGTTTTAACCTACTTAATTTGACAAGTCACTATACTGTAAAGATATACTGACAATTTTTATTCATAAATGTTCAAACTCCCCAACTCCCAGCTACAGTGCTTTTTAAAATAATCCTACAGTCCTTTGTCATTGAGTGATATGAGCTGTGGTTAATATGTACCTGCTATTGAGTCAAGTTTAATTTTTACAGGACTATGATAAGCTCTTGACCATACAGAAAGCTGCATTAGAAGATCCAATGAAATTTGTTGAAAAACTTCAAAGGGGAGAAGATTTGGGAATCCCAGAACCACAAGTCATTGTTGAAGTAAGCTTGAATATTGTCATAATTTGGGTGTGTGACTATAGACAGGGTATGGATTGGATATTGGGTTATTGACCACTTATACACACCACTCACAACTACACATAATTACAGCGCTATCACTGACCCACACTTTACAGCTCACCATTACACACACACTAGGTTCTCAGTCTTCACTAATTGTATCCTGGGAAATTATCACATGTAAAGTCTTCTTTTCACAGGCTGACTTTCAGATCTCAACTGAACTGGTTGCACATCTCTTCTCAGTCATCTTCGACTCCATCTCAGGAGACTCCTTCAGTTATTATTTCAGAAGAGTCAGAATCAGAATTACTTTACAACTGGCGGTTTACTGCCAATCAGTTCATCTTGGCGTCAGGCCCCTTGAGACCCACGACCAGAGATTCTTTTTCAACTGAACTCTTGTGGTAATAGTCCTTATGTAACATCCTCTCTGACAAGAAGATGGGTTTGTCTCTTATGAATATGCTTGGCATTTGTCAAGTGTATATTTTGCACATATAACATATTATTGAAAATTCTTCCTTTTGCACTACACATAAGCCCTCTGTCAGTATGGGTTTTACAGAGCAGATAATGCCTAACTTACATATCTTATGCTATAACGGTAGCTTAGTCATCTGAACAGTGATTATTTCAGCTGGCCTTGGACCCTTCTTATATAGCCTCGGGGCGGACTCAACAAAAAACACAGTTTTGTAACAGTTCCTCTTGTTATAGATGTGTGTTTACCTCGCCATTGCGTAGAAATGGCAGTTCTTCTATTGTTGCATGTGTGTTCATTTCCACAGGAATCTATTTACTGAGCCATTGCCTAGCAATGAACTATTCCAGCTTACAGGCATCATGTCACAATATTGTTAGGATTTTTGATTACAAGAATGTATTAAATAAGATTCTGCATTATACTCTTACAGTCTTGCACTTTTCATCCTATTTGTGAATGCAGCTAATATGTAATGGCTTGAATTGTTTGATGTGGTTATGACCAACCGTTTGAATTTAGACAGATATGAATCACAATCCAAAATAATATTGTCACGTATTGGGCGTATAACGCGACAAGTAACTTCACGCCGTATTTTATGTAGCGAATTTTATTTCACATTCGCACTTACAATCACCCAAATTACAGATTTTCGATTACTGCTATTTGCAGTATCACAAATAGTACACTCCAACTGCCAGAATACAACTGACTGGTTGCTGGCTAACTCGGAACTAACTTGGAGGTAGCTCGAGGACTCACTCGGAGGTAGCTCCAGGACTGACTGTGAATAGCCTTCGCTGCTCCTCATGTAGCCTCGATTGGACAATACAGAAAACGGGCACGTAATAAGCACCCTTATTGCCTGGCACTGTGTTGCTATCAACGCTAGCGGTAGTAACCGCTGTTACTACCGTCGTCTCTCGCAATCCTGTTGCGTCACCGTTACGTTACTGTGCGGAGGAGGGGGAGGGGAGCGCTGACTCACCCGCCGCGTCACTGCTGGTGGGGGGGGGCGGTTCTCCTTTGTGCAACATGTCACAATATTAATCGTATTGACCATTCACTGCTGTCTTCATTAGCTGTATCTGGTCATCATTCATGAATATAGTCAGAACATATAGTTCTGGTATTTTATTTGGTATTTTATCATAAACAAGACTGAAATGTAATTTTATGGTTATTATTGAATGGAAGCACTTTTGTGCTGAAACGTGTAGTGCAAGAGAGAAGAGTGAGGTGAATAAATGTATGCACTGTAAGACGGTTAGAATAAATCATGGAAGAATATGTTCGTTGCTAATCATAACATAACACAACTTCAGTACAGACCCTAACAATTATTTCCTGTGACTGGCCACAGCCTGCAGTTTGAGGAAATGCTCATGTAGAGTATGGGGAACTTTACTGCCATTCCCTCTAGGCAAAGGAACAGCCTGATCAGATAATTCATATTATGAAGCTCCTCATTATGTAGTTTTCTTCATTCCTTCGGTATTTCATCTCTCCTAGGTCAAAATATTGTTGTAGATTGTTAAATAAACGAATTAACCATCTCTACGGCGTATTCAGTAACGAAACATGTTACATTGGTGTCAGAAGTGGGATTCAGTACGATGAGACAGTACATCCGCTATTCAAAGACTTCATGCGTATCCTCAGCCTGTGTTCTGCCCCCTTAGTGAGAGACAGAGTTTCATACTCATTTAAAACAAAAGGCAAAATTACACAGTTTCTTTCTTTTCTTTCTGTTTTCCCCCCATGTTTTAGATAGGGCATGGGGAGACTCAGCCCTGGGGCCCACCCAACCTCCAATACAATGGGTACAGTGGACTTTTTCCCCAGGGGGAAATGCATGAAACTCATCTCTGACTATTGCCAAGATCAAGAACGATGTAACTCCCCATATGTCATCATGGTGTGGTACTTAATTAAGCACAGGAATAACTTTACCTTAATGGGGAGACTCTCAACTGAATGGTAGCAAACTTTCCATGACTTTAATCTGCTCATAATTTCATTAAGAGTATCACAGTTTGCTATTTTTCACTGTTAAATACTTCAGTTTTTCCACATTTTTACCTTTTCATTCTCAGTTGAAATGATTGTCTCCTGGTTTAATAGTGTGTCATGTTTTTGTGTTTCAGCTCCCAGACATAAATTGGTCAGCATACAATGTGACAGTGCCTGTAGAATCACTGAAACCTCGTGCCAGAAAACTTTCAGGTAGACCTTCAGATGGCTCTTTGGACTCTGCAATGAACTCAGAACATGAATCAAGTGACTTTAAGTCCAGAATTTTAGTTCGGGGCCGACCGTTTGATGATAGTAAGCCTGAGACATTCAATCAGGTTTGTACATTAAAATAGACTTTAGAATATGCCAACACCTCACTTCACCTCACCACATCTCATTCAGTGACTGGCTATGAGCTGCATGACAGGAGTTCATTTGCCAACAAGGGCTAGGATTTTTCTGTTTACCAGCATGTTCAGACGGCAGCCAGGATAGCATAGTTATTATACAGAAAGGCTACAGGCTGGACAGCTGAGGGATCAGAGTTTGAGTCCCAGAAGGGGCAAGATTATTTCTCCTCTCCACGTGGTTTAGACCAGTTCTGGGGCCGATCCAGCCTCCTATCCAATGGGTCAGCTTCAGCAAAAGTTTGGAATTTCATAAACACTTGAATAACTATCACCTGCTCAAGGAACACTTAGTATTATGGAGTTAGTTGTTGCAGTTTGCAGATTATATGATGCTATGGTGCCAATCACAGACTTATAGCTATTATATTGAAAGAGCCTAAGTAAATACCTTCATCAAATGAATTACTAAATTAAGAGAATCTTAGATAACTGAAAGTAAGGAGTGGTTTTGTAAACCGTTTTATAGTACGTAAGATTTGAGGTTTTCACGGTGGTGACTATGAAGAATGTCATCTTCTGGGATGTGGCAGCATGTAGATCTTGTGTGAACAGACATTTTGGAGGAACATATCACCTCCATCTTCAGGGTACAAATGTTGGTTCACACAAGCTCTACATGCTGCCACATCCCAGACGACAGAATTCTTCACTTTATAGCAAATTTAGCAATTATTTCTAATAGAAATGTTTAATTAAATTATGATAATGCTAGTTGGTTGAGGCACTATGCTACAAGCCAGAAGGTCGTGGGTTCAAGTCCCAATGAGATCATTGCAATTTTTTCAATTGACGTAATCCTTCTAGCTGCACTATGGCCCTGGGGGTTGACTCAGCCTCTAACAAAAATGAGTACCAGGAATATTCTTGGAATGTTCCTGGGGGTAAAGGGCAGCTGGTGCATAGGGCTGACAACCTTGCTGCCATCTATGAGCCAATTGTCTAGAAAATGTGGGAACCTCAACATCTCACAACCCTATGGGTCTCCAAAGCCTGTTACAGGGATACCTTTACTTTACTTACTCACTATGATAAAGCTGGTGTTATTGTTAAGATTAAGTGACTTTTGCCACAAAACTATATTGAAATAATCATAAAAAATTATTAAATATAATTATTGAAAATAAATAAATGGAAGTAAATGTATTTTCTTTATTTATACTGCTAAATATGATGTCTAGAAAACCGAGATTTACAGCCATGGGAATCCATTGCACTGACCATGTGACACCCTCTATCCACAAAAGTTGGCACTATCTTTGCTGACAAGTGGTAGATGCTCAGTCAGTATTGTTTGCTTGTGGAGTAAAAACCACGAAAGAGAGTTTTATACTGGTAAATTATTTTTAAGTTCTTCTTTTGAATATACTCTATTTCCTTCTGAAGCTCTGGACTGCAGAGGAACAGCGGCGGTTAGAGGAGCTTCTGATTCAGTATCCACCGGAAGAGGTAGAGGCCAGACGATGGCAGAAGATTGCTGCAGCCCTTGGTAAATTTTAAATTTTATGTTGAAATTCTCTTGCTTCTTAATGTCACAACTTTCATATTAATTCCATAGGGATGGATGTCCAGTAAAGTGTGGTGGGATTGCTTAGTCAAGAAAGTGACTGGCTGATGACAAGTTAGATTCTCAGAGATAAAGTTGCAGCTTTAATGTAACCTCAACCCTGTGGGGAGAACAGTTAGTATGCACTGGATATGAGGTCAGATGGATGCCAGAGCTGATCTGGATGTTATTGAAGTGAAAAAAATGCTATTCATGCTGGTAGTCTGACTCATCATCCAGCCATTCACTTTATTGACAAAGCTGTTTACAAGAAGGGCAATAAAACTGTCCATAGTGAGTATCACACAGTATCACTGCTATCACCTTCATGCAGAATTTTATTCAATAACTGTCTCTCAAGGTTATGTCCATATATAGATGAAATTATTTGGGATTATCAGTGTGGGTTTCAACATAACAGATCAACTACTGATCAGATTTTTTACATTCATCAGATACTGGAGAAAAAATGGGAGTACGATGAGACAGTACATCCGCTATTCAAAGACTTCATGAAAGCCTGTGGTTCAGTTAGGAGGGAAGTATTGTACAATATTCTCATAGAGTTTCAAGCACCCATGAAACTAGTTAGGCTGATTAAAATGTGTTTTAACGAAATGTATAGTAAAGTCCATATAGGTAAACAGTTATCTGATAAATTTCCTATCCAGAATGGTCTAAAAGAAGGAGATGCTTTATCACCACTCCTTTTCAACTTTGCTTTAGAATATGCCATTAGGAAGGTCCAGGAAAACCATGTGGGACAGAAATTAAATGGGACATATGACCTTTGGTCTGTGCTGATGATGTGAATCTACTGGTTGATAATATAGGAAACACACAAAATTTGATTGACACTATTAAGGAGGTTGGTCTAGAAGTAAACAGAGGGAAAACTAAGTATATGTTGCTGTCTCATCACCATACTGCAAGGCAAAATCTTGACATAAAGATAGCTGACAGGTTGTTCGAAAATGTGGCACAGTTCATATGTTTCAGAACGACAGTAACAAATCAAAATTTGATTCACAAGGAAATTAAGGGAAGACTGAATTCAGGTAATGGCTGCTGCCATTCAGTCCAGAACCTTTTGTCTTCTGACTGCTGTTTAAGAACAAAAATTAGATATACAAAACTCTGATTTTGCCTGTGGTTCTGTATGGGTGTGAAACATGGTCTCCATCATTAAGGGAGGAACTTAGACTTAGGGTGTTTGAAAACAGGGTTCTGAGGAGAATATTTGGACTGAAGAGAGATGAAGTGACCGGTGGTTGGAGAAAACTGCATAAGGAGGAGCATTTGAAGTGCAGGATTGATAAAGGATTAATCAAAAAGGGGAAACGCAATAGATCCTTGAAGGTTGCAGTGCAGGGCTGGATTATCATGGCCCACACCCTTATTCATTCATTCATTCATAATCAGGAGCTTCATAACTTGTACTCTTTGCCAAGTATAATTAGAATGATCAAGTCATGGTAGATGAGATGGATAGGGCATGTAGTGCGAATGGAGGAGAACAGGAATGCATGTAGGATATTGGTGGGAAAGCCAGAAGGAAAGGGACCTCTAGGAAGACTAAGACATAAGTGGATGGATAATATTAAAATGGATCTTAGAGAGATAGGTGGGGTAGTATTAACTGAATTGATCTGGCTCAGGATAGGGACCAGTGGAAGGCTCTTGTGAATGTGGTAATGAATCTTCAGATTCCACAGAATGTTGAAAAGTTCTTGAGTGTCTGCACAGCTGGCTGCTTCTCAAGAAGGGTTGAGCTCCATGAAGTTAGTTAATTATCCCACCTCAACTTAGGGGACCTGCAGTAAAGTTGCAGGTTTAACCCTACTCCCGTTCTGGCTTTTATGTGACAACTTCTCTGCCATGTCTGAAAAATGCTGTAAAAATTATCTGAAATTGCTTTCAATACTACCATTTCATGTTTCTGAATATCTCCAGTAAGTTCAAAATGTGAACCTTTAAAAGAACTTTTTTTAATTTATGGATATGAAAGGGTCATATGGGGCAAGATTTGGTAATTATGATGGATGTTTGGTAATTGATATATTGTGTTTGGCTAAAATTTTTCCCACAGAAAGAGCTGTGTGTGAAGATGAATTGCCATGATGTAAAATCCACTTGACTGAACAAAGATATGCTGTTCTTTCACAAAATAACTGTTATAAATCCTTGTACAGTAGAACTTGGTTATAACGTCATCAAAGGGACCTAAAAATAATGTTATAAACGAATGTCGTTGTAACCGAAATGGGCACTTCCACAGTAGCCTTATGTTAGTCATGTAAAAATCTACGAAAAACCGAGTTAAAATGTTGCATTTTTAGTGAAAAACGTAGTTAAGTACAGACTAACATAACATTAACATGGAATTGCCCAAATGTATNCGTTAAGGTAGAATGCTTGATAGATTATCAGATAAACAAATAACATTACCAGTTCAAGGCATAAGAAGTCTTTCCGGCATTACTTCTCTTCCTTGGGTTACAGACATCTCTTCTTCCTCTTGATGTATAATAGAAAGATTCTTCTGGTGTTCTTATATCAATGCTTGCTTTTAACAATCTTTTAACAATCAATCTTGCTTTTAACAATGATGTATTTAGTGAGTTGACTTGTTCAAGTGTTGCAGCTGTAACAGTATGAATGCAAATAAATATGAATATGAATCCATTCTTTGCATGGTTTCTAACCACCTGGCTCTGTGTTCCTTCATTTTATCTTTTATTAAATGTGTTTCTAATTCATTTCTAATTTTATATGTTTTTATTGTATTCATTGTTATGCAGACATTGACCTTAACAATGTTGTTACTGCAGACTGATCTGTCTTTATTTCTTCCTTTCTACCCACATTTACTCCCATATAATAACACTGGAACTATGACTGTCTTGTAAAATTTTAGTTGTGTTTCTCTTTTGGTTTTTCCTTTTCTATTTATTCATATTTTGTTGCATATGTTATGGAATCCATGAACTTTCTTGTTTACATCATCATCTTGGTCAGTATTTCTGTCACAGCCCAAACTAAAATATTTATTCCATTCTAAACATCGTCACCAAATATTATTTTACATCTCTGTTGGGATTTTCATTTGAATGAGATTACCTTGGTCTTCTTTGAGAGTAGTGTAGATAATACACAATTTGCAGACTTAATTTGACTGGTATTGATCTTCTGTCTTTTGCATTATTATCTAAGTCATTGTTTATCGTCAGATCTTGAATATTATTACACTTTTTAATCCACGTCACAATATGTTGAGATAAATTTTAAATTCTTCCAGGGAATCGTACAACTAAGCAAGTCTGCAGCCGGGTACAGAAGTACTTTATCAAGCTTCATAAAGCAGGATTGCCTGTGCCAGGAAGAGCTCCCAAAATGCAATCTCTAGACGTGTTTCGAAAGGTAAAACTCGCTTAATCACTAGTAAAAGTCTCATGGAAATTTTCTAATATGATTCTTGTTGTGCATATGGTCTTTATATATAGACCACTGAAGAGTTTTATTCAGACTGGTTCTGATATTAATATGTAAGCCATAAGGTTATGAGAAAGTTAAAAAGAGGTTGTTATGTTTCTCTGTGTGAGGCATTCATAGTAAATCTTAAGAAATGTCAGGTTTTGTCCAGATAACTTGAAACAGTTTACATACCAAGAAAAATGTATTGAATGTATACTAAAAGTAGTATAGCTGAGTATAGTAGTGGAATGAGGGCAGGATGGCCAGCAGGGGCAAGAGATTTTTCTTTTCTCTGCAGAGTCCAGACTGGCTCTGTGGCTCACCCAGCCTCCTATCCAGTGTGTACAGGGAGCTGTTTTCCTGGGAGTAAAACAGCTAGGGCATGAAGCTGACCACTCCCATCTAGTGCTGAGGACAAGAATTAATATTTTGAACACTGATAAGACTACCCACTAAGGCTGTACCTTATCCACAACTTTTATGTGGTGCAGCATTTTAATGCTTTTTTTATACACAGGGATACCATCCTCATCGGCACCAGAGGAACAATCACTATTTGTTCAAGCAAACAACATTTTTCCCGTCACAAGATGTTCCAGTGTATATGTCTGAATTTGATGATGAAACAGATGGAGCCTGCCCCAATACATCCACAGCAGAATATGACACAAAAATGGAAGATTACAAGGAAGACAGGTTCTCAGTAAGCATAACCAGTTTGACTAACTTTTTTATAAGGAATCATATTCCTGTGTCTCTTTCCCACAAATAACTTTACAGTCAGTAAATCAATTAGCACAAAACTGGATATGAATATCATTCCAATAGGGGCCACTCCACTATTGTACCATTAATTTCCTACCATCAGTGATATCAACATGATGACCATGTCTACTTCTAAAGCAGGAGTGACACTAGTACCACATAATGCACAGTTGCTCGAACTGTAGGTTGTAGCATGCTCTAAGGAGGGTTGTGTAGTTCTAAAAAATTATTTAAATTATAATTGAATCCATGCAGGCTGTTGGCAGATTTAAAGTGCAACCTTGTTATTACAAGAGTTTATGAAATTTGTAAAAATTATCATTTTAATGGATAGTTGTAATATCCAAAAATCATTGAAATACGTAACTTGAAGTCCATCCACTACCTTCCAATTATGTATAATACAGTATGGCACTAAGGTTTGCATAATAGTATGGATACAGCCTCTGTAGTCTAGGGGTAACGTTCCCACCTCATGACTCAGGGTACGCGGGTTCAAACCCGGCGGAGGTCATCGAATTTTTAAGGGCAGAAAAATTCAGGGAACAAGTCCTCCGGGAGGGACTTTAAGCCGTGGGTCCCATGTCATAGATTTACTGCACATAAAAGAACCTCATGTCTCTAGGAGACCTCTGAGCAAAATTAGGCAAAATGTTTCCCCACCCAAGTAGTTTCCAATGCCTCCGGTAGGTGGGGAAGTTATCAGGTACCTCTGCCAGAAAGGGGGGCGACCTCGCTGGCTGAAAGGGGCAGATAGCGAGCACCAGTACCTGTAGAGTATGGCGACAGTAGAAATTAAAGGGGGACGTACAATAGACAACTAGTCGCGGTGCATGGGGAAACCCACCCCCTCTAATAATGAATGAATGAATGGATACAGCAATATGGTGTGAAGCAACCATTACTCTCCTAAGTGTAAAACACATATTATGGAAGTCATGCATAAACTCTGCATGAACTCAATAACTGTTTATTTTACTGATTTAATCAGATGACATGTTTGCATAACCATGCCGATGGTGAATATGGACTTCTTTACAGCAAATGCAGATAGAATCTGTATCATCTGTAGTTACTGTGCCTATGATATTGCACTGACAGCTCAGATGACTTGTCATCACATTTGTCACACAGTCGCAAACCAAGACTGTATAACAGATTGTACCAGTATGTACTCATGAAGGAAAGGAACTGTGTTAGTTTGCTTGGATTTAGTACATATTTCCTTTTTTTCAGTACCATAAACAGTGTCAAAGAATTTAGTCCACACTGCCTTTCTACTTTGCTTTTCGGTGAGCAGCCAACTTCACACAGATATATTATTTCAAAGTATATCTTTTTATTTCTTGTATATCCATACCAGGATGATGATTCAACTGAATATCGACAGTTTTGTCTTCTGCAGAGGGTGAAGAGAGACAAGGAAATGGAAAGAGGGAGGATTCCTTTTGAACATTTAGGCTACAAGGTAAGAAAATAAAGTTTATGACTGACTGTAATATTAACTTCTCTTTAGACTTAATTTTAAGAATATTATATTTAAGCATCCTGTTACACTCTACACAATGTATGACACAAACTCCGTCCTAAGTGCAACAATTTGTTGTAGTTCTTTTGTCTTCTTTTCTTCTACACTACATGTTTCGGCCATAAATGGCCATCATCAGGTGTATTTCTCTTACATAGCTGTTACACTGCACATAGTTTAAAATTTAAAACACCAGCTTTCTTAATTGTTCATTTCTCCGTTGTTAATAGGTCCCGATATATCAGAATCCCCTTGCTGATATTTGTCAGATATGTATAAAATCTTTGTTAATTTACATACGTCAATTGGATTTTTGAATTTTGGTATTTTTAAAATCTTCCATTTAAATTTAAAAATTTCCAAAATTTAAAATTCAAAATTCACAGGGATGCCTGCTCAAGGTCTGCAGTGCTGCACTGTATTAAAGATAAGCAGTGGCGTGCACACAGGGAGCCTGCACAGAATAATACCTGAACGGTGCCGAAAGCAAGAAGTAGCCGCTGCAGCACTGTAGACCTTGAGCAGGCATCCCTGTGAATTTTGAAATTTAAATTTAAATGGAAGATTTTAAAAATACCAAAATTCAAAAATCCAATTGACGTATGTAAATTAACAAAGATTTTATACATATCTGACAGATATCGGCAAGGGGATTCTGATATATTGGGACCTATTAACAAGGGAGAAATGAACAATTAAGAAAGCTGGTGTTTTAAATTTTAAACTACATGCAGTGTAACAGCTACGTGAGAGAAATACACCTGATGATGGTCATTTATGACCGAAACATGTAGTGTAGGAGAAAAGAAGACAAAAGAACTACAATAAATTGTTGCACTTAGGACGGAGTTTGTGTCTCACATTATTTTAAGGAATTGAATAGCTGAGTCACTAAGGTACTATCTACAGGCTGGACAACTGTGGTTCGGTGTCCAGTAGCAGCACCACATTGAAACAGGTTGTGTGTCTAGTATAGTCTCTCATCGCATGGGTTCTGAGGCCTCTTACCCTAAGGTCAAAGTGACTAGAGCTTGAAATTGACAGCATACCCTCAGTTTGTGCTTAGGTTTTCAATTTATGTATTCTCCATACCTTCAGGGTGTGCTGTTTAGTTGAACCTTTACCTGTATCTATATCTTTACATTTTATTGTAGAAAGGATTATTGTCTCCCTTAAACAGGGTGGAAGTCTTCGGAATTCTTTGTGTCGCTTAGTCAACATAATGCCGAGGTCTATAGTGCATGGATCTTTTAACTCTAATTTTCCTATATGCTTGCCGTTACTTGTGCTGTACCTTACGATTTGTTGTAATTGGACCTAGTATTGTGTTCATATGTGTTTATGTGTGTTCAGAAATCCACGTACAATGCTGCAAAGTGTCACAATCTAGGGCTACAGTCCATATTCTTCCTGGTGAGTGGTTATTTACATTTGTAACATCTGGGCTTTGCAGTGTGACCTGTGTCAACAGGAGCCTCTCCTTGGGACCCGGTGGCACTGTGTGGACTGTCCACCCAATGTGTCTGTTGACTACTGCACAGATTGTGTTGTGACACAGATGGAATCTAGTAACCCTCACCCTCTAACACACCACCTGGTGGACTTGCGGAGAAGTGAGGAACAAAGAAGAGGTGTGTGGGACCAGGATTACACACCTCAATCTTTCTCAGTGACAGGAAAACCAAATAATTACAACTATTTGGACCCAAACTTTATGCCTGAATAATGCAGGGTATCTGTAAATTAGCCAATAATTTCAAATGCACATGATGTTTCTAGTCATGTAGAAACCTGGAACTAACATCCGAACAGTTGTGTGTATCTTTCCATGCTATGAAGATGATTTCTGTGAAGTACACCAGCCAATTCTCTGGATAACTTTGGTGTTCAATAGTGACAGTGTCTTTTCCTTGTTACTTTTAATCATGTATTTGTGTCCATCCTTCAGTGGAAGTCATATCAAAGTTACACTGACTGTTATATGTAGCATGGCCCCATGCTACAGAAGGGATATGTTCAACCTTGTTTACATACCTGCTACACGACACTGAGTATTGCCCATCCCACATGTACATAACTGAACACCTGAGGATGGCTGTTTGGGGCTGAAACATGTTATGTTAATAGCGAAAGCAAATGTGAATGAAGAAATAAATAGTTGCATTACTGAGGGAACGTTGAATGTAAACAAGTCTGAACATGGTAATGCAACAGGATGCTTAAATAAAAGACAGGGATATGTTTTTTTTTTTTTAAATGTGTACCATAATATTCCATAATGTGACCATTATTTGTCATTGCCTCCCACGTTATAAGTGGTGATGCATTTCTACAGAATGATTTTGGACCACAGATATAATAAAAACCAATTTCTACGCATTAGAAATAACATTAGGAGCACAAGTTATGTGTGAAATATAATACCGTTCCATTCTTGTTAAGAGTAATATCTGCACATGAATTAGATAGCCTCTTCCAGGACATCATAAGGAAATTTCACTATTGCACAATCTAAAATGAGATGAAATAGTAACCACACTACCACCTATTCCCCCTTTGTCATTGATGCATGTATATAGCCCATCCAGTGGCCAGCTACATCCTGCTACATTGAGTATCGTGTTTAGAGGGGGTGGGTTTCCCCATGCACTTAGACCAGTTATTGGTCCATTGTGCGTTCCCCTTTTAATTTCTACTGTCTCCATACCCTACCGGTACTGGTGCTTGCTATTAGCCCCTTTCTGCCAGCGAGGTTCCAACTTTCTACTGGCAGTGGTATCTAATAATTAGTCCCTTTCTGTCAGAGAGGTCCCCCCTCCTCTGGCATTGGTACCTAATACTTCCCCATCTACCGGAGGCATTGGAAACTACTTCGGGCTGGAAACTTTTTGCCAAATTTAGCTCAGAGGTCTCCTAGAGACATGAGGTTCTTTTACGTGCCGTAAATCTATGACACGGGACCCATGGCTTAAAGTCCCTCCTGGAGGACTTGTCCCCTGAATTTTTCCGCCCTTAAAAATTCCATGACTTCCGCTGGGTTTGAACCCGTGTACCTTGAGTCATGAGGTGGGAACGTTACCCCTAGACTACGGAGGCCACTATCCTGCTACATTACTGATGCATGTGCATATATGATCAGGATTTCTTAAGAAGTAATAGTTTATTTAAAAAAATAGTTTTTTTTTTTCTCAATTCGTTGTTCCTTCACATTTTGTGTTAAAAAAATTAGTATGTGTCCCAGATTTCCATAAGGATGAATCTGTGATTTGTACCATAAATAATTTCCATATGGGTAAATTTTGTAACTTGAATGCCCATACAGCAGACACGTGATAGTTATTTTACTCTTTATCTGCTTTAGAGCGTCATGTGATGTACTAAGATAACACATACTACGAGGTGATACTGGAAAGTTCCCAGACAGACTAGAAAACACAATATTTCAGAAACTGGATCTGGTTCAGTCCTCAGGTGGGGGGAGGGGGGAGAAGACACCTACTAAGTTGGGTCCCTTAGAAAGAGCTGACCTCAACTGGTCCAGTGATTGAGGTTAGCTCTTTGTAAAGGACCCAACTGAATAGGTGACTTCTCCCCTCTCCCCACCTGAGGACAGAAACAGATCCAGTTTCTGAAACTTGTTTTTTTTTAGTTTCTAGAATACTGGACAATTGACAAAGTCCTAAAACCCGTAATTCTAATGAATAGCATCTTTAGAAAAAATGTTTGCAGAAACATTTTGAAGTTCCTATACTGTATGTAAGATTAGCACTGGACCAAAATAATTAACATATTTTCTGAAACTTTAGGATTCATTTCTCACCCTTGAAGACCCTACCTAGAATTTGGGTGCATCTTATAGCCTGTCCTATCTATGCCATGAAGGGAGTAGAGCAAGTTAGAAGTTTCTATGGGACAATCTAGTTCTAGAATAATTCACTTGATTATTTTTCCCCATGTGCTGTAATATCTTATACAATAGCTCCTGCTGTGCCATTATGCTTCCTTAATGTGCTTCATCTGTTGACAATTTCACCAGGCTGGACTGCCTTTTGTTGAAGTCATTTGTCATATTTATTCAAGTGGACATGCATGTATATATATATATATATATACACACACACACACATATATCACACGTGCTGATTTCACTCCTTGCATTTTTATATCTCTCAACGTTTATCATCCAGGAATAGGGGATTTAAATCTCCTAGTACTGCAGCACTTGTGGCTGGAGTTTAACTTTGGAGTAGTGATATTTATATTGAAAAGAGTGAGACAAGTCTTGCTGGACCAGCACATGTGCCATCACAGAAGAGTGATGCATGGACAATGGATGCTAGAAATTTTTCACCACTATGGGTATAACAGATCCACTGCATGTAGAAGTGTGCAGTGCACTACAAATGGAAATGCTCCACTAGATATATATAGAATGTTTCAACACTAATTGTAAGAACAATGCTTGTATGAAGCTGAACAAAGTTCACATCCCACTCTCCTGCATCCCAAATGCGGGCTTGTGAAGAGAGCCATGACTTGACATGGCTGTTTAGTTTCTTATACAACTGGTCAGCATATTTGCACCTATTTTCAAATACAGAGAATGTAAATAGAGATTATATTGACATGGTTTAAAAAAAATAGTCAACCTGTTACTGTTGTCATTATTTGGTTATGTAACCAACTGACAAACTGCAGTGTAGGTAGGAACATGTACAGTGAAGTGTCACTTTGTACAAATGAGGATTATTTTTTTTTTTGCAAATTCATTCAAAAAAATAAATTGTAGAATATTGCATTTTCCGTTAGCCATAGGCAGAGCAATGTATATTGTATCTGTATATGTAGAAGTTGTTTCTGCTCTGAAGGTGCAGTCCAAAAGCAGAGTGTGAGGTACACCTCTGATGAGGCTGTACTCATTTATGAAATTGTAAAGAAAATTACATTCCCCCTTTCATCATAATTATAATTCTGAAGTATGTTGCAAGGTACTGCAAATCTAGCAGGCAGGAGTGGCTGGAGAAATGTACCCCACATTCCTCTCCAGAAATACATGCAACATTGCATTCCTACTCGGGGGTATCCTGGGAAATACATAGACCTCCGGGCTCTCTACAGACAGGTAATGTATGGATGATACACATAAATGCTGCTTCCTTGTAAGCATTAAAGTCAGTCAATACAACTATGAAAAAATGAAACTCAAAGAACATGGTTACATCTTTTTTTCAATGTGTGAAGTTAACCTACTCGGCTGTCGTAATTCTAGGATACAAACTAGAAATTTCCAATGCTATGGCCTAGCACATTTCTTACTACCTATGGTATTCCTGGATGCTACAGCAGCCTATCAGGAACAGTGAATTGGTATGTGGCTGATAGGATAGTGGAGGAGCTATGAGGCTCCACCCTCAGTTGCTGTGTCAACAAAGTGGAACATCTTCCCACCTAACTTCGAGCTTCCTGTCTCCAACAAAGATAATGTTCTGAATTTTAAACCTGCAGTATCGCTCCATGGTGTTGGATTTGTATCAGGGTACTACAATAGTCGAGGAGGTATCAGCCGCTCTCTATAGTGTTCGAGTCGCCAAAGTGAATTATCTTCGCAGTTAAGTTCTTTGCCTGCTTCTGTCGCCATTTTGTTCATGTGATTGGACACAGAAGTACAGCATTCGCCATTTTGTTCCGACCCTATCACGCGATTCGATGTCGTGGCATCCAGATTTTGAAAACATTAGAAGTTCATTATACCTCCTCGGTGATTCTGATACCTGGAAACAGAATTTCCATTTTGTTGTCAATTTCTTTAAACCTGTTGCTCGAAAATTGTTGAATTTTTATCCGGGTACTAGGATAGTCGAGGAGGTATCAGCCACCCTCTGTAGTATTCGATTCGCCAAAGTAATTCATTTTGCCAGGTAAGTTCTTTGCCTATTTGCTTCGTCATTTTGTTCATGTGATTGGACGCAGAATTGCAGCAATCGCCATTTTGTTCCGCCCCTATCACGCAATTGAACGTCCTGGCGTCCATATTCGGAAAGTATTAAGATCGCATTATACCTCCTTGGTGATACTGATACCCGGATACAGAATTTCCATTTTGTTGCCAATTTCTTTGAACCTGTTGCTCGAAATTGTTAAATTTGTATCCGGGTAATAGGATAGTCGAGGAGGTATCAGCTGTACTCTGTAGTATTCGATTGGCCAATGTGAATCATCTTGCCAGCTAAGTTGTTTACCTACTTCCGTCGCCATTTTGATCATGTGATAGGACGTAGAATTCCAGCTTTCGCCATTTTGTTCCGCCCCCATAACGCGATTGGACGTCGTAGCATCCAGATTTTGAAAACATTAAAGGTTCACTATACCTCCTCGGTGATCCTAATACCCGGATACAACATTTTCATTTTGTTGTCAATTTTTGTAATCCTGTTGCCCGAAAATTGAATTTTTATCCGGGTACTAGGATAGTCGAGGTGGTATTAGCCGCCCTCTGTAGTATTCGATTCGCCAAAGTAATTCATATTGCCAGGTAAGTTCTTTGCCTACTTCCTTCGCCATTTTGTTCATGTGATTGGACGCAGAATTGCAGCAATCGCCATTTTGTTCCGCCCCTATCACGCAATTGGACGTCCTGGCGTCCATATTCAGTAAGTACTAAGATCGCATTATACCTCCTTGGTGATACTGATACCCGGATACAGAATTTCCATTTTGTTGCCAATTTCTTTGAACCTGTTGCTCCAACATTGTTAAATTTGTATCCGGGTACTAGGATAGTCGAGGGGGTATCAGCTGTCCTCTGTAGTATCCGATTCGCCAATGTGAATCATCTTGCCAGCTAAGTTGTTTACCTAATTCCATCGCGCGATTGAATGTTGTAGCGCCCAAACTAGCAACGAAAGGGCGACATAAAAATTTTAAGTGTATTGTACCTCCATGATGTTGCTAATACCTAATACAATATGTCAATCTTTTTGGCTGCCCTAAACCTGCACATAGAAAAATTGAATTTATATCCGTGTACTACGACAGTCAAGGCGGCATCAGGTAGCCTCTAGCCGGCAAATTGGCAGATCATGTACCAGCTAAGTTCTTTATAGACTTTCATCGTCATTCCCCCCCCTAGTGCCATGGCACTTCCTACTTGCATCGACAATTTGTTCCTGCCGCATTATGCGATTGGACTTTATTTTCACACTGGACCGGAATTCCAGAGGAAAATCTGCATGCAAGCTCTTTTTTCAAAATTTATTGTGAACTGGTAGGATTGGTTTCTACAAATAAAACGAGGCACACATTGCTGTAAAAGTTTTTATTTCTAGTATGGAAGGTCAGATTTAGACGCGAATTTTCTTTGGCTTTCAAGTTTCTTCTCATATGATAATTTGTTATAGGTTATGTGGCATCAAACAGTGAAGGGCATGTAGCACGAAAGGGGGAGGCGAGGAATGCATATAGGATATTGGTTGGAAAGCCAGAAGGCAAGAGACCACTGGGAAAACCAAGGCGTAGGTGGGTGGTAAATATTAAAA